CGGCCATTTTGAATTCTATTGTTTCACATGGCTATTATGGAATGCCCAGATTTGGGGGGGGGAGGGGGAGAGGGGGCAGATTAGTATACATTCGCCCCCTAAGCATCCCGTAATAGCTATTTGAAACAACAGATTTCAAAATGGCCGCCGTATCGCCGAAAAGGTTCACTGCGCCGAATTTCTAATAGGCATCTCGTAACCAAAAAATTGTTTTATAGTTATTACATTCTTCGCTATTAAACGTCCTACGTCAATTGATTTTGCGGTTAATGTTTCAAAACTACCGGATGCTGTGGACGGTTCAGTTCGATCTATACGAAGCGATTGTAAAAACTATGTGTCCCAACTAAGTGGCGCGGTAGACACCGCATAACCGTGAGTTGAAGGAAACGCGTTAAAAATGATTTGTTTGCGTTTTTTGTTTTGCGTCATGTAAGACATCACAAACTGTAAACATTTCGCAACTACTTACATGGAGTAAATTCAAAGTTTCAAAACAACCGCCATTATGGATACGAAGCGGTGGAAGTTTTATGCTTCGTTCTTCCTTATATCACTTGATGAAACAACTTCGCAGCTGTAAAAATCAATGAAGCTGTTGGAAAAGAATTTGAAAGGCTTCAAAGCTAAGGTACGTGGTTCGTAACGAATAACATCGATTCGCATTCCATTGAGTGAGCCGTTATAATGTTTAAAAAACATTAAGGATGCTGAGACTGCGCAGTACGGACTGCAAATCATCTTACATAATACTAGGATTTCGTTCAGTAGTATTCTCGGGCTGAAGTCGCGCAAATCGTAGACATTATAGTAGCGTTGCGTGGCAGAGCTCGAGGAAGGGCCAGAACTAGACTGCAGAGCAGGCGGATTAGCGGTGTAGAGCGCGAAACGCGATACGCGAACGCGGAGCACGAACCCGAGCACGAACCACGAGACCATATTCTTCGACTCGCGCTTTGCGCTCTTCCCCGCTTATCCGCCTGTTCTGAAGGCTAGCCAGAACTGGACTAAGCAGGTCTAGATCATCATGTTCAGCTTAAAACCACCAGGTAAATAAATATGATAGCTTAAGCTGAATCAGGGGTTATTAAGGAGGACAATGTTTGGGATATCCCTTTCTCATATAGCTTATTTAACTCTGGGGCAACAACCAGCCTGATAAGAATTCGTTTACTTTTTTATTATAATTTGTATGAAAATTATGATATTTTACTAAGATAGTTTATGTCTTTCGTTTTTACACACATACGACGAATGCTGTTATCACATATTCTAAGCTATATTAATCAATTCCATTAATCAAAGATTGGATTAAGATTTATCAGTGACACCTAAAGAATTTAAAGTTCATTACCTTTTTTGTGGGATATCTTTCTAAATTGACGAAAGCAACTTGATCTTTATCCCCATATTTACACCTTTAAGCAACCCTTCTTTTCTTATCCAAAACACCTTGAAAACTACAGGCATTTTTTTTTATCCGAGTATCTGAGGTATTATTTCCCTAGTATCTGAGGTAAGCCATTTAAACTTGTGTTCTACCTTGAGGGTCTTTTGGGTACCCATGATGTATTACATCTCCAGCACAAATACAGTTGAAGGCCTGGCCCGGGTTGTCCGATAACGCTATCCAGCGGATAATATAAATGACTGTTCAGCGGATAGCGCGGTTTATTTGTTTTGTAAATACTTATCCACTGGATAGCGATTTATCTGGTGGATAGCGTTATCCAGCCTTCGAACAACTGGGGCCTGTTCTCCCTACACAAGGTATAGTAGGGTAGCCCTGTATTTGAGCTTACTGCATAGTCTATCATGCCAGTGCTCATCTCCGTTTCCTATAGCATGAACACGTCGAGTATCCCCACCCCCTGCTTCCCACTCCCTCTGGGTGGGATTTTGGTCTTCATCCGGCCCAGCATTGTACTCAGAGGTACCTACACTGTATGTATGCACCTTACCGGAGAGAGAGTTTGACGCGTGGTCAATAAGTCAGCGTCCACACTACGCTGGACAATTTTGAAAAGGCAGCTTTTTGAAAACACTCTTCAAACCGGAGGAACAAACTGTTTTCGTGCGAACGAAAAACATTTTCAAAATGGAGCTTTTCGAAAACGATGACGTCAAGATAATGATGTGATTTCGTTCACCGAGTCTTCCTCAAATACAAACTCAAAAGGGCCGGTACGCGCGTGATTGTTGAGGTTTCAAATTCCTCCTGCGTGGTGTGGCCCCCCTGAGTGTTATGAATCTTATGTAACCATTACGCCATTGCGTGTCTCATGTAGAGTTGAAAACGCTGCTCAGTCCGGGGATGGGGGGGCAGGGGGACGCTCAGTCCTGATTTGGACCAAGATGATTCATGACTGATGAAGTCTTGATGGTGTTTGTTTCTGTTTTCTTTTTCTTGTTTTCTCTTTTCTTTTCAATTTCTTTATCTTGCAAGCGTAAACCAGCTATTGTATCATCTTTGTTGCCACATTTCTACAGATTAAGGACTAACTGGGTCTCTCTGTGTTGGTCTTGCATTGTTGGTAGTAAACTTGCGCAGACCCCAGCCAAATGCTGTTGGTATGTACGTGCTTAATTCAAGCTTTGATTGATAAACATCTGTTCTATCGTAATATCATGTAGAGTGGTTGATAAAGGTTGTTTACTGATCCGGGATTGTCTGGTCATTCCATCTAGAACTAGCAGCAACACGTCTTCGATCCTCTTCTGCCTTCATCCCGACTGGAATGGCTGGCTGTTTGACTTCTTGTTTTATCAATTACGGAGGGCATGGAGTTGTTCGAACGACTGAAAAGATTTCCATGGTGGTTAGAATTGGCCGGGATCGAATTGGCTGCAAGGTTACCAGATCTGAAATATCTAGTGCCCGTGTTTTTGATGGCACAACAGCAGAGAGACTTGATTATAGCTGCGTAATGTTCATCTAGAGCACCATAGCATAACGGATTCAACGCATTTGGAAACCACATTAGCAAGTAGATGTAATAGTATAAGATTTTCAAGTACCTCCATTGTAAGGCCTCCTGGTAGTTTTCAACCACAAGGAAGAACGTGGTGTACGGCACATAGCAGACGACAAAGACTATAACAACAACTGCCAGCATCCGCAAAAATTTCTTCTCCAGTTCGTTTCTTTTCCTTAAAGTAGTTTGGTCTATACTTTGTTTCCTCGAGCTTCGTACACTGTAATACGTCACTGAGCCCTGACTTTCTCTTCTTTCCTTTGGAACTGGACCACACCCCAACGCGATCGACATCTGTCGAAGTTTGTAAGCAATAACAACGTACAAGATGACGATTATCACAACGGGCAAGAAGATATTAATGATGTACTGGAATATGGTGTACATATTTTGGTAGTAAATCTGTTCCTCCACTGTCCTACCAGGGAAAGACTCTACGCAACGATAAATTGTTTCGTTGTTTCTCACTCCAATGGCTTGAAGTTCTCGAGCACCGAATGAGGGTAACACGCAGAAAAATGCAGTCAGCCACGTCAGTAAGATAACTAGCGCTATTTTAGATTTTCCGAGTTTTGATTTAAACGGAAAAACAACCACCACGAAGCGATGGACTGCGATGGCAACAAGTGTGTTGGTGGTAACGAGATAGAACATAGTCAGGCTTGGGTTAACTAGTTTACACATCACTGGCCCCATCGTCCATTCACCACCCTTCCATTCCATCGCAATCAGTATGGAAGGCAAACATAACATGGTACCGAGGTCAGAGACAGCGAGGTTCGTGATCAAAGAGTACGTGCATGTGCGCATGCGCCTATGTCGAAAAGGAATGAGGCAAACAGTGAAGTTGCCGCATATCGCGAAGATGAAAAGCACGCCGTACACGACATAGCGAATTATGCGCGAACATTCTGGCTCCACCACGAAATCATACTCTAGGGGTGCACTGCTTGGCGGGATTTGGCTTGAATTTAAACCCAATGTTGAGTATCTTTGGCTGAAATTCATCGCAGCCTGGAAGGTTTGGGTGCCTTCAGTCGTTTTCCGGACACAAAGCTAAAGGAAGAGTTGACTTTCTTCTGTACTGCTTAGAAGAGCAATCTGTTATGACGAAAAAAAAAAGTGTTAATGTGATAATTATAAATGTCAAACTATAAGCGAGCTGCCGGCGTATTTCAGCGATGTCTGTAAGGTTTTGGCGCATTGCGTCTATTTTACGTCACCAGTAAACAAAAAATCAACAACAGTTAAAACTTAAAATATAATAAAATTAAAATAAAATAAAATAAAATAGAAATCTAAAATATACAAGTCAGTGACAAAAAACGGCACTTTTATTGATTATGTCATCTCCTGACTACATTTACTCAATTTTTAAACATTGAAAACTTGTTTGCGAACTCTTTATCAAGGCCATGCAAGCCGTTTTATCTTAGTGTGTATATTTTCACGATTTACTTCATGGCTGGAAAGTGATTGTGCAATAATCGAAAATTCTTCCTTGGGAAAAATTCGGTACACTCATTTGTCCGCACAAAACTCCGTAGAGTTTACCTCAATACTAAACAGAACTAAGTGAGTCTCTACACTGATTCAGCAAGATATGCGGGTTATTAACCAAGCGTGAGGTGAAAATGGCTGGATATTGACCAAGTTCGTTTTCTGCGTGTTTATTGACCAAGACAGGGTCGGGTCCATAAACGCACAAAAAAAGAACGAGGCCAATATCCAGCCATCTTAAAAGGATTTATTGTATGTATAAAAAAAAAAAAAACCATTTTCTCGCGGGACACAGCGGGTGATCCCGAGCGGGCAATATATTCGCCATCTTTCCCACTCGTGTAGCCAATCACAGCGCAGGATTTGGTTCATCTTGCCCGCTCACGGAGCTGGCCGTAAAATAAATTTTGTTGTTGGCATGACTTGCAAGTTAGTTGAAGGAAAGAATTCTACTTGTAACAGAGAATAAGTGAACATGCCCTAGCTAATAGATGTACTATGTGGATTCGCATATGTTCAGAGCACGTACTACTGAAAACACTGGACAATATACTCCAGCATATCCGGATTTATTGCCCAGTTCCTTCATTATCCCGATCTTTTTTTACTAACTTTGTATTCATTTCAGTGACGGGAAATACATAGGAATAAGACGGTACTGTTTTGTGAAATTGTTATCATTCAAAACGGAAAAACAACTCTTGATGAGTACTCAAGAGCCACATGATCGGTAATAGGTACTTACATCCATTAAAACGGTATTGCATTCATCGAATGTCGTATGCAAGTAATTTAGGATATCTAAGGAGAAGTGTAGCGGCTCTCGCGAGCTTTCGATTCTTTTTCGTCTTAGCAGCTGCTATTATCTTGGGGCTTGGGGCATTGCTTCTGTTGTTTGTTCTATTGTTCTCTCAAAGGGTATCAAGCCATTCATGTGAGACCTCACGAGAGCTGCTATCCAGCCCTGTCTAAGTAGTATATCCGTTGAAGTGAAGGACTCACGTATTGCTCGATTGGGCTGATAAGACAATGCACAGCTTTCACAGAATTAGTTCTATCAATAGTTTAGAGTTAGCACTGTTGAACTTCAACTGAAATGCATGAGTATTTCTCAAAATATAACATGTACAACATCACAACATAAAAAGTCTTGGCCCTTCTCTAAAGTAACAATTAATCTTCACAAACATCTCAAAACATTTCAAATTTCACAAAATATCAACCGTGATTGTTATTCAGTCATTTGAATTGGTGTAACGCTGGGTAAAATCGCGAAATGTAAGGCTTTCGACTCACCGAGTAGATTTACTTGTAAGTTTCCGTCTTTACAACACACCTCTTCACTGACCAGCAGGGAGCCTATTAAAGACGTATCCGATTTTGCATCCAAAAAGTTCAACTCCTCAACCAATGTAATCTAATTTGTACGATATAGATGGCCTTTTGAAGAGCCACTGTACGTACACGGTGATTCGTTTTGAAATTTACTCCGTTGCAATATACATATAGTTGTCACCGCCAGATCGAACAAAATATACTAAAGAATTTGCAAGAACGACTGAGAGACTTTGGTGACGTCGTCATAATAATTGTCATCTTTGATTTTTGCTTTTAATAGAATGATTGATAGATCCCAAAACGCCTACAGGCTACGGGCTAGGGTAGCAAGGTCAGGCAGATCACTTTAAAAACGTCACGAATTACGCCCGGATTTGATAAATTGGTCGTTAGCAGTATTCAGTTTGAAGAAATTAATCACTCATCTTCGCTCTTGTCAGACGGCCAAATTGTTGAAGCGGCAACTTTTGCTCTGAACTAAGTAAGTACGCAATTTTCGGTTGTGAAGTACTGGCCTTGATTCGAAAACCGACTGAGGGTTGGCCAATTCATGTTAATCCAGGATTATATGGCAATCGAGGTTTTATTTTATTTGTAAAATTTCTTTGTCTCACAGCACATTCTAGCTAGTTCTCATTCGCTTTGCAGGAACCCAGGTGCGGGCTAAATTACCAGTATTTTTGCTGTGGCGTATTCAGGTGGCAAACGTCTGAGGTCAGAGTTAATGCTAATGGTAATAAAATAAGTTTAATCAAAGTTATGCATACATTTATCCTTGCATCTCATTATTTCGAACAAGTTTTAATTAAAGAGAGCTATCAGGTATTCGAGTCATAAGTCAGCTCGAGCCACAAAATACAGCGCGTATATGCACAGAGTGCCTATAGCCTGGTTCTCACTAGTGAGATAAGCATAACACTAGTGAAATAAGCTCAAGCATAGGCACAAGAAAAAGAAACGTGCATTTTCCTTTTTCTTGTGCTTACCCTTTGGCTTACTTCACTTATGTTGCGCTTACCTCACGAGTATGAACCAGGCTTAAAGAAAGGTTAATCAATCTTATTGACTTTGCAATTTAAGCCGTGATATACTAACTGAATCAACCATAGTTTTTCATGTTATTAAATCTAATCCGATACGATGGGTATTTGAACACCGATCAGTAACTTTGATTACGTACAACAATATGTTGCCCACAAAAAAGGAATGGCTGTATGACAAATGCATAAAATTTAACTTTAAGGCAGTTATTTTTGCATTTGTTGAACTTTCTAGCATTGTTCTATTGGTCCTGATGACCATTTATGTTATATTTGTCGATTTTCTGCCGTTTTAGAAAAATCGAGAAATCCAAAATTGTGTCGAGATAGCGCGACGTAATTACAAGGTGGTCTGATACCTTCCTTTATTCGTTAAGATACACTGGTCTGGGTGATTCCATCTACGTCCAGATTCGGCGTTGAAAATCGAAAAAAGCGCGGTCTGAATAGGGTGAAGTGTTCGAATATAACTCAATAGCGCAAGCTAAACTTACTGACACTAATATTATAAGACCACGTTAATTATTAAGGAAACCAGTCAAGCTCAAAAGTTTTAAAACATTCAGAGGGTTTTCTATATATAGCAATATAATATTACTAAAATGGAATGTAAACAAAATGTTTTTCTTTTCTTTTCTTTTTTTTTGACGATGCCAATGCTCCATGCGAATTAATTCAAGAGGTGGGACCAAGGCAGAAGTCAAAGCAAAGAAGACAAAGAAAATTTCAGAGGATCAATATACATATAGACTAATTGAGTATAAATCATATGCAGAACTAATTTCGTTCTCATTATATCAAAAGGGACGGACTATTAACTGATATTGCCATTATCAATCAATCCGAGATACCTTAAGCGATAAATCTGTTGCCTGTTTAGAACTTCAACTCAAAGTGCATTTTAATTTGAGCTTAACATGAATACTTCCCTCAAAATCACGTTCAGCGCCTTATTTATTTGGTAAAGTTATTACCATGTAATACCTGTAGTTATTACACAGACTAATGACGCGCGCGTTGTCGCTGAGTCGCGTCAAATTAAGTGACTAGTAGGTTCGTTTAACCCTAAGGCATGACATAACATGCATTTCAAGCTCGTTACATGTAGCGAGCCCTTATATTATCTACGTGGGGTTTGAGCTCTACGATTTCTATCAGATATCGGAATATGCCAATACAAGACGTAAAAATAAAGTCTGTAACATTTCGTATCTCACTGGTAGTCAATACGGCATGGGTGATTCGTTGTATGAATGCAGTTCACAAACATTTTTCCAAATTTGAATCATTTATTTC